GCTGCATGATCATCTTTATCAACAAATACAAATTCTGCAAGCTCAAGAACAAGAGTTGCGCATGCAACTTCAAAACCAAGCGCTCATCAGTGGCAGGGCACCTCCCACACTACTTCGACAACCATATTTGCAATTCCCGTTCCAGCAAGATGCATCCGGTCCAGATGAAAATTCAAGAGCCCGAGCTGGAACTGTAAATCACCCGCCTTTAACCGCTCCCCTCCGACAGCACGTGTTTTACAACCCTTCATTCATCCCAATACCCATTCCCACTCTCCAGGGAGCTACCACAGACCCGCCATCGCCCTCGACGGCTCCCTCCGCCCCTGATACTCGCCGTAATCATCGACGATCATCTGTTGCTAATGGATCTCCTCGCGGACCACTGCGAGCTCAATCCCAACCAGCGCGACCTTTGCAATCTCCTGTGGTACAAAATTTTGGAAACATATACCAGCCCGTACCTTTAGGTGAAGCTCCCCATACGCCCAACACAAAACTGTCACCAGCCTCTCCAAAGCGGGCAGGTGCCGAGGTCGAAAGACCTGTCACCAACGGCATTCCTATGTTTTCAAGATCGTATATGGACGAAAGTCGCGCCTCAGAGTACGTTGGGTACTATTTAGGAGACTCCCCTCAATCTCAGGCAACCCTTCATCTGCCAATGACAACTCCCCACTCTATCGCCACTGGGTTGGCAATCCAAAACAGTGGGTTGTTCTCACATCTCCGGAATCAAGCAGACTACCATAACTCCATGGGAACTTCTATTGAGAAGACCATTCCCTCCACGGAACATGCGCATGTACATGACCATATCAAGCATTCGAAAAATACACCACCATGTGGCCGACCCAAGTCACAAAAAGATCGAGGTCCACTCATAGTTGATGGTTCCCTTCCGATCAACGACCGTGAGTACTCTTTGTCCACAGAAAATCTGGATCATTTCGCGCCAATGAGTTTCAGTACTTCTGCATCCGAGGATAGACCATTTGATACTTCTGGAAGTCCATCAGATACCCTTTCTCAAGGATTTCCGGACCATGCCCCTTATAATGAGGAATACGAAAAAGCCTATGGACGGGGTGGACAAGCCACACAATCACAACACCACATTAACGGTTGGGATTCTACCAACACAAAGGGCGTGGCGATAAACGGTCACCTCACCCTATCGGAGCGGCTCCAAAGGTATCAGATATCCGATACTAGTCGCTCATCTGATTGGTATGTAAAGATGAAAACGAACCAGCACAAGGGAGCTAAACAATACGCATACAGAGCAGAAAATGGGCTGCTTGACAAAGATCAACATGGTCCACATGATAACCATGTCCAGTCATCTAACCCACTGTCTGCTCTCTCCCCGGTGAAGGAAACGCGAACCGTCTCGCCCACCACAAAGCGACGAGTAAATGGTGTAGATTCCGATAGATCCAATGGGTCGAGTCATAGGAACAGACAGCGGGGCCGACATGATTCCGTCAACACTCAACATCAATTGGAAAATAATAAAGACAAACAAACAGAAGCCCACCATCGAAAACCCAATGGCGTTCCATCATCCACCAACGGAGCCGGTGGAAACGAACATCAACCCACTGGATCAGGCTCTGCGGGTTGGCAAACAACAACGAAGAAGAAGAACAAAAGAGGGAACAAAACCCCCGCTGAACCGGTACACAACAGCCTTTCCAATGGTGTCGAGCCTCTCCCAGCTGACGAGTCATTGAGAAAAGGCGGCTGAGGCGGAACAAAATTATCTATGAACTGTGGGCGTTGCATACTTTCCAGATTATGATATGCGTGGATGTGTTTTAATTATGATTATGATCGCCTGGGGTTGCGTTCAATACCTACAAACTCAACTTCGAATTTTTGTTTCAGTACTTTGCTTCGTTCATGCGTTTCTCTTGTGTGTACTGCATATGTTCTGTACAAGTCAGTTTAAAGCAACTGAATACCGACTTCCGTAGACGAGAGTTCATCCAGCCCAGTCGCATGTTTGGTGCGGCCTCGCGTGTGACGAAGCACCCCTTTCTTCTCCTTCATCCAGCTCGATAACACGAGGATTCTACGAAGTGGCTCTTGGACGCACGATGTGGTATCGGCTGTCTCAGGTTCAATTGACAGTTATTTGTTCATCTTATTACGTACCACTCAATGTGTGGTATTTTTCTGAGTCGGAAAAGAAAACATAGAACGGAGATCCTGCTGTTGGTCCACCACTCTATCGTGTTAACAGACCAGCATATTACTTGTATCGGTTACTTTGAATGGGAAAGGGTGACACAAAGTGAGCAGAACTCACAAAGATGACAGCGAGGAGAATGGAAAGAATGATTAGGAATGGAGAACAAATCATTTCTGCGAGAAATCACCACGGTTGTCCCTTCGTCTTTTATTTCTGTTTTTCTTATTACCTATTTCCTCTTCTGCAGTCATGAAACGTGCGTGTTTTGTTCAGATCTTTCTTGACATGTTTTCTCGGTTTTCTTTCTCTTTTGCCATTTTTAGTTCTCAGAAGAATCAAAAGAGAGCCAAAGAAATGTTACTCCTTTTTTTGTCTATCCAGATGGTGGAGTTTGTTCTTTTTTCATATTTTAAAATTTCCTTTTTGAAGCAATCTTTTGATGCTTCTTTTTAACTGAGCTTGTTATTGTAATCTGCTTTCTGCTGCTCTTCAAGGTCGGATTCCCCTTTTTGTCACCGTGGTGCCATTTTACTCTTTAAGTACGAATATTATTCATATCTCATACTGGTGTTCTATTTTGCCTTGACGTTATGACTGGATTGTCCAGTTTGTTTTCCATTTTTTGTAACCTTTTTTTTTTTTTTTTTTTTTTTTACTATTTTGTCTTTTTCAAATGTGTTTCGTCCGTTTGCTTGTGCCATTCCTTTCAACTTGGATGCGTCAGGTTTATCATTGTTGTCAGCGTCAAAAATTGCTCGTGTACTTGTGTGGGTTTATATATGCCTTTTGTCTCAATCTTTATTCTTCTGTATTTCCATTTGCTATTTTTCTATTCTTTCTTTTTCCCGCACTGCTTAATTTTTGTCAACACCACCACTTCACACTATCATATCCAGAGAACCGTGGGCGTTTTTTTGTTTTTGCTTATTCCTTTCTTCTCTCTTTATCTTTTTTTTCTCTCTCTTGTGTCTTTTATTTATCTTCTTCAGTTGTTTTACCATCGTTCTATTCCTTTCCTCGTTTGCATGAAACTTTCTCCCATTAGCTGAAATAGTTTTAGTTTAAGAAGAGCACAGGATTATATCTACAATAAAAATGGCCAAAATTCAGAAATCAGATTCACCCGCTATAAAATGGCACCACTGTAGAAAAATTTGTGCAATATAGACCCTCTTCACTGGTTGCTCTGTAGACTAACTGTATTTGTCAAGCACACATATCAAGTAAGGTAAGTTATTACAACACAAAACGATGACACGAGGAATTGGAGACGGAAGGAGATGAGTCGATACCTTATGGGGGGTCTTTCGTACCGGGGGAATTCAGATTTGAGGTGGATGAATGCAGTACAATACAATCGTGGATGGGGAACATGAAGAGAAACATTAAAAAAAAGGGGGGGAAGAAAGAAAGACGAAAGCCAAAGAAGACGAAAGCCAAAGAAAAAAGAGACAGATTTTTTATTATAATATATATTATGAAAAGTGCAAGTCATTTAAACAAACCTTAATATTAGCAGAGTCACATGAACAGAAAATGAGGGGAAAAAAATAAAAATGCAGAAACCCGGAGTCATCCTGAGAAAGACTTCTGTTGGATGGCGCTATAGGGGAAGAAGACAAGAGAGGATTAGAGGGTGTGGTGGCTGGAATATAGAACGGCCATACGCCGAAAAACATCTCAAGATAACAGTATATATGCATTTACAGAAAAGATCTGAGGAATCTTGACGCGCAAGAACATGAAATTTCCAAAGGTGGCAGGCAATGCGAGACATTTATGTCTTTCTCTGGGTTGTAATGAAGATATTCCTACCTGTATACATACTCGAAATATTAATCCTTCCGCAACCGACGCGATCACAGCGCTTCCTAATAGGAACATCTAAACATTTTTTGCATGCATCGTACATATCCCCTTCCATTTTATATTTGCTCTTCTCAACTTCGAAGCTCAGCGAATATATATGGAAATATAACTCGACAAGCTGTCCAGAAGACGATAAAGCATTGGACAAATGTTACAGGGAACATATAGCCTGGTTGGCTGCGGATGAACTCCCATATTGAGAGGAAAGCGACGGAGTAGAAATGTCGAAGAAGAACCCATGGCCTTGGGGTGACAGCTGCAAGAAGGCCGATGGGGCCATCTACCTGGCCTAACTGGAAGTAGCGGAAGCAGCCTTGTTGGAGCACTTTAAGGTAGGGGTCTATACGAAAGGTAGTTAGGCGGGAAATTGGTAGTTTAAATTAGGGTAGAGAGAGAGAACAGGGTTCAGGTAAGTTAAAAATGCCGATACAGAAAAACATGGAAGGACACATACCATCTGCAGCATACAAGCTGTATAACGCCTGCGCCAGGATATTAATGACGCTCGTCAACCCTTTTCGTTCCCAATGGAACTTAGACATTTGTTTCAGGACTTGTTGTTTATTGGAGAAATCAGGGACGTTCTCAGGGCTGAGGAGTGTGCGGAGGAGGACAACGTCGCTAAACGCAACCGTCATTCCTCCACCTGTCAATGGGTGTCGCATATTCAGCGAATCGCCCAGAAATACTAGTCCAGGCGTCTTGTTTGTGGTAGGGGGGAGAAAAGAATTGGGCATAGATCGTAGGCCCCCTTTCTCGAGCGCTTTGTTGAAGGAAGGCTGTACACATTTAGGGAGGGAGGGCAGGACAACCTTCCGCAGATGACCCTTGACGCCGCCATTCTCAACTGACGCAGAGGGTAGGTTTTCGGGGATATCGACTAATATCCTCGTCTCGTGTGTACCGATCTGATAGAGCAGGACAGGAGGGCCGTCTGGCAATACGACGTGGCCAAAATTCTTCCGCGGAAGCTCTGCGTCTATAAGCTCCAGGCCCCAGAATTTTGACTTCACTCGAGGTGTTGTAGGGAGGTACTGTTTACGGAACTTGGAAGCGTATCCATCCGCAATGAAAGTCAGCGGGGCATAGAAGTAATCCTTCTGCCCATTGGTGGTGCATTGGACTCCCAGAACCTCATTATCCGTTGACGAATGGATGACTGAAACGGCCGTAGTCTCAACAATGGTAACATTAGGCGTCGCCCTCGCTGACTCGCGCAGGCGCATGATGAAGCGACCATGGTGAAAAGAACGGCCTTTGAACGGCGACCCTTGTTCATCCGCGGGATACCGGATAGGTACCTCGCTCCCATGATATATCACGTCCATGCCATGACACTCAATGGCATCGATATCTTCTAGACAATGCTTCAGCCCCAGCTGATCCAGCGCCCGCACCCCTCCTGGTTGTAATAGTTCACCAACGATGCGGTCTGGTTCCTTCAACCACCTCTCGAGAAGAAGCACACTGCGCCCTTGCTTTCCCAATGTGACAGCCAGAGCACAACCAGCAATTCCAGCGCCCACTATTACAACGTCTGCCTCATGGTCCTCGCACCGCCGTCGTTCGCCTTCATCTGAGTACACTCTTGGGGTCTTGAGAGCGCCATTTCCGTTAGGTAACTGGGGAGGCATGACCATGCTGTGGGGAATGCGAACGAGGGTACAATTCCGCACGAGTCGAGACGAGAATCAGAAAGGTATCTTAACGGTGTATAAGGATGGGTGGCGTAGCAGCAGCATAATTTCTAGAGTTAGATATAGGGGGTGACAGGCCAGCAGAAGTTTTATCTGGGATAATTGCTTGGGAACAAATTTCCCACTCAAAAAAAGTTGGCAAGATACATGCCTGCTTGTGATTGGTGGCATGGTCAATAAAACGAGAATATAGTGATTAATCATCGACTTGGCAACTTTAGTAACGCCGCTTCCAAGCATGTGATTGTCCGAATGTTCCTGGCTAGATTTTGCTAGTGCAACCATTGCAGCGATACGGAACGTCGTACGAGACTGGTGATGCCAGTGGTGCGCTGCTAATTATCACTAAAGATTATATGGTGCTATCAAAGCCAGTGGCTCATTACGGGAACAAAAACTCCGGCCTTGACTGAGAACAGGTTTAGAATTATTCCTGAACACTTGCCACATTTCCATTAGGTACGGTGGACACAAAATTATCTATTGACTCGGCCAAAAGAAACAGGATGAGACGAAAAGTGTGAAAATGAAAATGAAAATGAAAATGAAAAGCCAAGAAGGTGGAAAGATAGATAGGAAAGATATGCATTTTATTTGAAAAAAACAATATGAGAATGAAAATGACCGTTCTAAACGCCCAGGGTAGTAACTTTACTATATACAGAAACAGGAAAGGACATCTCGATGGATCATACGACACGAAGCCGCGCGGATTCCTCCATAGTTGGCTCCTCGAAGGGATCCTCGGCTCCGTCTGCAAATACGCCACTTTCACTCCAATCCCGTTCCTCGGCCGCATCTGGCGAGAAACATTTCTCCAACTCCGCACGCTCCTTCCAGTTCCTGACAATATAATCCGTGTACCGTAAATCCTCAAATTTGTAACCTTTGAGCTGTGGACCCTTCTCCAGGCCGTTACCGGAGCCAGTGTTCGAACCAGGCGTACTGGCCTGGCCCTTCAACATTTCTATGGCCTCCGGGAACGAAATAAAGCGATCAGGTCCGAATTTTCTAGCCTTGAATGTGTGACGTAGAATCCGTGCCAATTTCGAGATATGAGCCATCTCCCGATTGAAGCTTTCTCTCGTATAGTTGTTTGGCAGGGGATAGATATTCTTGGATCTTGAAACAATGAAACTGATCTCATCACAAAGATCGCGGTTGACTGCTGATGGGCGTTTGAGCCCCGTAAATATCGCCCACCTAACGCCCTTGAAGTTTCCCGAGCGATAAAATGCTCTGGCAATGAATTTTATCGCAACGGGATCGAATGGTGCAAACGCGGTGTATTTGGATTGGTTGATTGCCCGGAACATATCAAGGACTGCAGCGTTATTGCCGATATCCAGGAGTCGAGCTGCAACGGTAGACGCTGCGTGGTGCTTAACAGGCAGGAGTTTCTGTTGTCGGATGTTGTAGAAATTCAAGACTGCCATCTTTACGGCTTCTATCTCACCCATTTCGCTTGCTTGTATTACCGCCTGGAAGAATTGGGAGGTAACAGGTTTGCTCGGGAGCTGCAGTGTCTCGAATTCCTGCAGAATTGTTTTCGCATCCCGTGTATCTCCGTGGAGCAGAATACTGGCAGTCACGGCCAAATCTAGGTGTAGATGTTTCATGATCATACCGGATTTTTTGGCATCTTGGAAGGAAGTTAAGGATAATTCCGGTTTTCCGGCATTTATGAAATACATCATCTGTGTATGTAGCGGTGTAAACTGTCTTATATGTCTTGAAGACTCTGGCATCGACATGGCTCGTCGCCACATAGCTGCAGTTTCTTGTGAATTGGGCTTCTTTTCCGATTCATTGAGTGGGAACGAAGTTGCATCATATCCCAGCACTTGGCGGGATGTGGCTGCGTAGCCATACTTCTGTTCAGTCGCACGGAACATTCGCCATAAACCAGTGGGGCTACATTTTGCAGATAGACGCGCTTCCTGGAGCAGTTCCATGAAGTACGGTCGTTCCAGTTTGAGCTTCCAGCCCTTCTCTTTCACCGTTTGTAAAATTTCCTCTACCATTTCCACAGTCCCTTTCTGTATAATGGCTTTGATGATTTGATCGAAAAGCAGTTTGTCAGGTACCAGCCCATAGGTATTGATTGCATCGAAAACGAACTGGTGAATTGCATTCCCCGAATTTGCAATCCAAAACTCGAGGAAAACACGGTGGAACATCTGCGTGAATCTAAATGGATCTTTTGCTGACAGCCCAAGTTCATGCATCCGTGCCAAGGTGTTTCTTACCCCATCCCAATCGCAGTTCACTGCCTTTCCGTACGCAACGAGTCCTAGCGTTCGCGTTTTGAGCGGGATATTGTAGGTGTCTTGCATAGTCTTAACGAGCATATCAGCCTTGTCGGACATTCCAAACTCGACATATGCGCCCAGCAAGGGGTCGAAAAGCTTCTCCGTAGGGGAGATTCGACAAGATGCCAAAGTGTCCAGCAATTTTCGAAATTGCGTTTCCATGAGGACGATACTTCGAGTTCTGCTCCACAGCCCACCAAGATATATTCCGCATGCGCCGCAGTCCGTATCATTTCCGACGTATTTGAATAACACGGTCTTAGCCTCGGATAATCGGTGCGAACTGATAAGAGACTTAAGTACAACCCTCAACAATACTGGAGTGAGTTCAAACTCTTTAGCATATTTTAGGTATAGAGTCGCTAACGACTCAAACCTCCCATTTTTCCACATCGCCAACAGCATGATCTCCCATAACGCTGGAGTGAGCTTTTGGTTTACTTCGAACCAGTTGAAGAGCTTCTGTGCGAGGTGGATCCTGTTTCTATGCAAACTTGTGTACAAAAGATGGACAGCAATGTCATTCCTGGCTTCCTCGTTGGTTTTCAAAGTTGCATTCGCATCACGTAAAAATCTTAGAGTAGCTTCATCAAGCATGTGGTGATCCAAAAGTCTCTGCACGGCAAGAGAAGGGTCACTCGGCGGTAAATCTTGGTACTTTTCTCGAAATTCTGGCGGGACACTCATGGAATAGGCTAGATCCGTACGCACTTCTTTGCGGCTCTTCAATTTAGGTTTATATTTATTCAAGAAAAATGATGGCTGAGGGGGCACTTGAACAATGCCTTGAGGTTGGCTGATCGCTGACGAGCGAACGGGGGGTTTTAAGGCCTCACGTGGAGTTTGACCGGCGGTCTCGAAAGATTCGTTGGCCACATCAATGCTATTATCACTGACTCCCGTCGTGTGAGATTCCCGAGGGTCTGCACCATCTGCACGATCCATGTTCGCTTCTGGGCTATTGGCAAGTTGATGCCTTTGGCGCTCGCTTCTCTTCTTAAAGGATGCCAGACCAAGGAACTTGCCAGCTTCCGCAGCCTCCATCATTTGGGCTACAGTCGCAGCTCCAGCGCCAGCATTGTAATTTGGACATGACGTCTGGAGACTTCGCTTGGATTCGACAATGCGTTCGGCAAACCGAACCCGGCGATGGAGGTCGTAGGTAATAGTTCCGACGGCACAGAAACCACCAATGGCTCCAATGGCTGACCCAGCAAAAGCTAGTTGTCGGAGAACACGTAATGCATTACGAGACGGAACCCCAGTTCGAGCGGATTGGCGGGGGAACATTGTGAGGAAGGCAGTTTAAGGGAGGTTCGGGAACCAGGTCTGATTGACAATCCATCAAGCGAAACCCATGGACCAAGGTTTCCTAGGCGGAATAGAAGGCGCAATGGCCGCTTCTACAGTGAGCAATGTGACGAGCGGCGTTTTGGGAAGAGATGGTCCTGATGTAAATGAAAAAGTGCCAGCAATTCCATGGGAGTTTGTCGATGACTTTTTTTCCGGATGGGTCTAAGTCTTTGGAGATAGGATTACTTCTTGGCGATAACACGTGATCTTGTAATTGAGCCACTGGTATAGAAGATGCTTTTTTGCTGCATACAAGTAGATTCTATAATTTCAAGAGCTGTATTTACAGGTGCGAATGCCATAATGAAAAAAATTACACTGAACGAAATTCAGGTCGCAAAACAATATAAACAGGAAAGGAAATTTGCCTCGTCTACTGTCCACCAACACCACCAGGAAAACGCCGGAAATCAAGGGCAAAAAGCTAAACTTACCTGCATCAATATCTTCACAGAAGCCAACGGACCAAATCAACCCAGAATTTTAGTTTCAACTTGAAATTTCCTAGATTTATGGAGTACTGATATCTATGCCAAAGTTATCCTGGGGTTGGCTGGTGCAGATAGGTTGAGAGGGCACTAGAAAAAGGACACCGAATCGGTCACAAGAACTCCACAAAACGATACCATATCCTCAACTAATCTTGCTCTCCTGCCTCCAGGTTGTCATCTTGTGGCTCAAAGTTGTCGTCCATATATACTAGCAATGCAGTCAATAGATTGGATATAAAATGGGATTTGGGGATTGATACTACCGTGACATACCATGCGGTTTAATGAAAAAGGATGCCATCGCTATCGAAAATAATGTAGCAACTTGGCACATAAATACAGCCTGTGGTAGCGTACCGACGGTTGAGCTGTATATCAAGTTGAAAATTGTCGGCGCCACCACGCGCGCAAGTGCATGAAGCAGACCAAGCGCACCTAGCAGCTGGCCGGTCCTATTAGCGGGGATATGCTTCGTCAACGAGGACGTGAGCGTTGGCGAAGCCATTGCACTCATCGACGCGAACGCGCCGGAGAGGAGCAGCAGCCCACCAGTCCGAACAATGCAGTACCCGAGATATCCGATCAGATCGATTATCGTAGATATTCTGATTATGATTATATCCAGCATGTCGGAGCCAGTGTTGACCTGACTCCTTTGGCTAAGCGGGCCACGGACCAGACGAGTTATTGTTGGAAGAGCCACAAGTAGCATAACCACTCGGACAGAGCTGGCTACGGACACGAAGATGCTAGACTCAAAATTGCCCCAGTCGAACATGTACTCGGAATAAATCACGATGATCGACATAGTCCCCATCCCGACGCCGAAGAGAACAGCGTCCATGGATGCAAGGATTATGAGATTAATTCGTAATTCGCGAAGGGAGCGTCCGCCGAGTGAGCTCGTGGAGCTTGGGAACAGGATAGAGAGGGGCTTCAAAAGGTTCAGCGGATTAAAATCCCCTCGCGACCAGGAAGGAACTTGATGGAACTTGAGAGGGCCTATCCCTTGACTCTTGCGATTAGCCAATTGGCGAGCTTCCGACAGTGACTCCGGCACAGCGAAAAGCATAAATAGGATGAAGAATAGCAGGCAACCTAAGACGGAATAGAATAGGTAAAGAATATTGCCCGTCCACTTGATGAAATATCCAGCAAGCAAGGGACCCAGAGCAATGCCACCAAATAAAATGCCATAGAAATATCCGAATGCTACGTTTCTGTTATGTGGCGGTACGCAATCTGCCGCGTATGACTGAGTAAGAGCTACCGCTGTCGTGAAGGATCCAAACAATCCATCAAACATCGCTGCTAGGAGCAAAATATTGACCGATATCCTACCATCTTGAGCCGCCACCATCGCCATGACAAGTTGGCCGAGAAACATGCCAAATCCCGAGAGGGCAATGATCTTAGTTCTGCCATAGCCATCGGTTAGAGTCCCAAGTCTCGGGCTTGTGATGGCTGCGAGGATACCAGATATTAAGTTCAGTTGTAGTTGAAGTCTCGAGGCTCGGGATTGGATCTCGGGAATCCGACATTGCGGGTTCGTGTCTCCAAAGATGACGGGAGCAAAAGTAAAGGTAGGGTCTTCTATCGCCGTGTCGGATAGATATTGGCGGCAAATCAATGTCAAGGCGAGATTTATCTGCGGCACAACGACTCCCCCGAATGCAATCGTGAATGGGAAAAGTGGAGGTAGTACCCAGAATATCTACCCGAAATCCAAATGAATATAAAACAATTAATAGATTAGTATAAAAGGCAACGGGAGAAGGTGCTGTACTAGGCCGTAAGTATCGGCAACCTCCACTGCTCTTCTGCCACCCAAAGGAACCATAATTTTGGTGGGGGTCTCCAATACTTATGGCCTGGCACTGTATATAAAAATGCCAAAAGGGATATGCTCACAGAAGGACGTTTCCACCACGGTTTGCGGTCGTTTTCCTCCTCCAACAGTGCATCCTGAGTTCCGTCCTGATTGCCTGAATTGCCGCTCTCGACCAATTGCGATGTTGGGATATCATTGTCCACGAGCAGTCTGGTGGTGGGCTGTTGGCACAGCAGGGCTCACGGTCCGTGACCTAGACATAGAGGGGGCCCTCGCAGAACAAAGCGAGGAAGCAGAAGAAGCTACCCATTGGACTGGCTCATCTCCTTCTACTGCAAACGTAGTCTCCGCTTCCATTGGCGTGGAAGGAACCGATTCAGGTCAGGGGTAACGGGGTAGGACTGAGGAGGTTCTCGGCGCATCAAGCTCAGTGGTAGGTCGGGGGTAATAGCAGGAAGGTCCACAGCACCAATCTTCTCACAACAATCCCAGGGGAATATAAATAGATATATGGATGTGTGTATGTATATGTATGGAGAGCTTGTGGTCGTTTTCCGGGGGATATAGGCTCCGTCAGAGTGCCAGGTCATGATACTTGTAGGAATACCAAGCTGGCAGACTCTCCAAGGAGCCCTGGCCGGAGTTGATTTCTAAGCTTCCTGATAACAAGCAACGGAGCTAGCGCCCTACTGTCTAGCATCAGCTCGGAGGGATTATTGTCTGTGAGAAGCCCTCCCTCTTGTATCAGGGAGAAGCTCTCGACAGTGCCCTGGTCCGACTCGGGGCCGTCGGACTCGGGTTGGAGCAATTCCATGGAACCAGCAGGCTGGACTGGACTGTTGGAGGGGATATTGGGAATTTGGGTGGTTTGAGACCGTACTATTTACCACAAACGCAGTGGCCTAACTATTGTGGCGGACGTAAAGCTTGCGAAAACAGAATTTTCTGCCACCCCCTGAAAAATATTAGCAAAACACTGCAAAAATAACCAAAATATCCACATATCTCTAGAATCATTCAAATATCATTCAATTCATTCAAATACACATCTTTATCATCAAATACACATCTTTATCATCAAATCTGTCAATATGTCTCCTCAGCTCAGTGAATTTACCATCAATAAAATCATACATTTTTTGAACAATGATTATATATCTGCTCAGATTGTGCAAATCATTGAATGTCATCTGATCATTGTATATCAAATTCAATAAAATATTCACTGTTTTAAAACTGTTAGAAGTTCTTATTCAACATGAAATATAAAATTAAAAATCACACTAAATATCTTATTAGATTTGAAGAATTTTTTTAAAATATATTCAACTGCATATCACAATGAGATTGTCTGCTTTGTAAAAAATGAATTTGATGTTGATATTCACTTTCAATTGATATCTAAATTGTTGAAAAAACTGAATTTGATATGAAGAAAATGATTAATTATT